AAATGGGAACAATGGATGACTTGCACAAGAACAAGCTCAGAAGATTTAGACCCAGATTCATATTTTTAAAACTTTCAGAGAATTCAAAATTTTGCTTAAAGCCTCTAAGGCAAAGTGAGCAGGTAGCAGAAAGCAGAATTCCCAGGAGAGGGACGTAGAGTTACAATCACTATAGTGGATGCCTTAATTAGAGATGGGTGGTGAAAAGCAGCACAGCTTCATTAAAGTCAGCAGAGCTCAACATTTACCAAGGATCTGACCCATAAATTCCAGTACCAAAAATTCAATTTTTTTTTTCATATTCAAGTGCAGATAGGTACTTGAGGCAACGAAGGCACCAGTGAGTGCAAATGGGATTCCCTGGCTGTGGTCTAGAAGGTAAATATAGATTTAGCTTTCATGAAACTCAGAAAAAAAATAAAAAAAGCAAAACAGCTGATCAGTCATGTTAAATATAAATGACAGTTTACTTGTGATGCTAAAAGGGGATTTTAGCTTCATTAAAAACAAAAACTAACTACTATGAAGGAGATGAGTGAACTATTACAACACTGAAAGACTTAAAAACGATACCCGCAGGAGATAACATTCTGAGAATAAAGTGAAAGAGCTCATATAAAATACAAAAGGTGTGTTGTAAAGAAGGATCAGAAGGGCAGACTTTGAGTTTCATCCAGTCATAAATCAAAAGCTTGTTCTCCATCATTCTTGTCTATGAGGTCAGCTTTGATTCCCAAGCTACAATTCCCAAAGGATGGAGGTATTTCTATTGGCAAGTATGTGTCTTTCTTCCCCCAGGCTGGCTCTGCCAGCCCTGCTGTCACCATGGACTGTCATTATCTCAATCTCTTTACTGCCCAGGATTGTTCCATCCTGGAGCCATAGGGAACTATCACAGGGCTGCGAGAGGAAAACCCATTCAGAAGATCGAGGGCATTTGCAACAGATTAATTGACAAAGAAGTTTATCGAGCCAGGCCATCTGCAATAGTTCAGTGATTCTCCTTCACAGGGACCAAATGCTTTAGCACTCCAGGTGACACGTCAGGGATGCAAACTGCTACACAAAATAAAAGTGTTAAAAAACAGTTTAAAACCGCTACCACCAAAAAATGTAATATCAATTCTCTACCTAGTCACGTGCTTCATATTTTTTGTATTTGAGTAACTGAGGCAATGATCTTTGAGCTTTAGCTCAGGCAAACTGTCCATACTCATAAGAACAGTCTGTGTAAATAAGGCTCCCCACCTGAGCACTGGAGATTGGTTCAGCGCCTCCATTTGCAGGCAGGTATCTCCGTGTGCATAGATGAAAGGCAGACACTCGCCAGACTGAAATAAACACAAAATACTTTAGCATGTTGTTTCCTCAACCATCATGTAACAAACTAAACCAGACAACTGCTTTCTTAAATCGAAAAAAAATAATTTCAAAAGACTCCTTGAATATTACTCAACACACCAGACTTTACAGTGTTCTTGCACAGTGAGTTCTATTATTTGCTCCATTAGTATCATAATGGTTTTAGTTCAGTAATTCTCACTTACTATAGAGCAACGTTGCTGTGTGGTGTAAAACCTGATAGTTACTGCGAGTATCTCTAACAGAGATAACATTTACACAGAATAATACAGACATCTGATCCCGTATGTTTCTAGAGATAAAAACCTTCATTCCTCTGACAATTCGTAAGGGAAAGGCTTCGATGGGGGTAAAACCTAAATTTTTAATACAAGATCGCCCTCTACTGTTTAGGAGACAGGAGAACGAGTGAGGCTGCAGAAACTGGTTTGGGCTGGAAGGGACCTTAAAGCCCATCTCATTCCAGCTCCTGCCACGGCAGGGACACCTCCCACCACCCAGCCTGCTCCGAGCCCTGCCCAGCCTGGCCTTGGGCACTTCCAGGGATCTGTTCCACCTCTTGTTATTTACCCTCCATAAACAACAACCTGGAAAAGTAAAATGATTCCTTGTAGGATGTTGTGGTGATATGACTTGTGGAGGGCTCCCAAAGAGACCTGGGGCACCACATAAGTTAATTAGGCTTACTAATACTTCCAGAAACTGAGATATTAAATGGGAAGTGACATTTCTTTGACATCACAGATGATTGTCTGGAGCTTTCAGTTATCAATGTTCTTCAAATTATTTTGATGATTTGGGCATTTTAGATCTGATTTTATATCTCCTTGCAGGGAAAGATCACATCTATAGATTGTTTATTCGAGGTGTATCTTCATCTAAGAGGATGTACCTTCAATCACTCCTTGTTTCACAGCACTTCCCTGGCTGTCTCTGCCACACATTCATTCCAAGCTTTTACCTGACGTGAATCAATTATTAATTTTGTCCATGAAACCTGAGTGCTGAGTGGCAGATAGAAGATGCCACATGTGTGCAGCACTCCACTGTCCCCAGAGATAAGGGATCTTCCCATGGCCCAGGGACAGCAAAACCAGGTTAGGCTTAGCTGTGCTTGTCTGGAATTTTGTCACTTTACTGGTATGAAAAGTTATGAACTTGGGATATAAAGCTCTTCACTTTGCTTGGTGCAGGCAGACACAAGAGCCAGGTGTACCCAGAGGAACAGCTGATCACAGTTCCTGGCTCAGCCAATTATCTAAAAACCCTATTAAAATTCTGGTCAAATCATACCTTTCACCAACTAAATCCTCCAAGTTACATATTTCAACCTATATCTGAGGCTATTTTTATCCACTTCACAGGTCCCCAGTCCATAAATTGACAAAGACTTCCAGAATGTAAAGCCTTGATCTTGATGCTCTCCTTTTTATTTGTCAAAAGGATGCTTTTTGGCAGAAAATTAATCTTTCCTACAAAATACACAACAAACGAAGCTCAATTTAAGAAATAAACAGACCACCCTGATAGGTAATTAGACAATAAACACAATATTTGTCATTTAATTCTGAAAGATGCCGAGTTAAAAAATACTAAGGAAACTCACAGGACTTCTCCAAGCCTGGGTTTGGGGTGCTTTTTTCCCAACCTTTTTCCTAGATCTAGTTCAAATTTCACATATACTATCCCTATTTATTTCTGCCACAGCCATTATCAGCATTTTAGATCCCAATTAGGATTTCCACTACATGAAGGCACCCAAATTCCTGAGAATTCTTTTGATCTTTTCAAAGAATGACCAGGAGCATTACCATTGTTGCTCTTTCTATATTTATTTATCAGCCTCACGCTGCTGCTTCCATAAAGCTGCAACCCCCAGAGTTCAAATCTGCAATAACTTTCTTCTGAATAGGCAAAAATCAATAACGGGGGGGAAATACAGCAAATTTCACATATTGATCAGAGTACAAGTGTTGCACGTAATATCTAATGGGACCACAGTGAAAAACAAAAACAACATACCTGCTCCTTTGTGCCTTTCCTGAGTTATTAAAATCATATTTGCAGCTACAGTGGCTGGCTGTCCTCACGTTGCCTCAATCCTTAGGATGTATTTCTTCCCATAGTTCATCATAGTCTGCAACATCTGGATTGTTTTAATTCCCCATTATGCTCAGTAATGTAATTTTTGTACCTCTGCTATCATATTCTGAGTTTTAATAAACTTGCCTTCTCCTTGATCCTCCCATCATCTGTTTCTTCATTCCCTGAACCCATCCTAAATCCTGCCATTTCAAGCAATTTGCTCCTACAATCCTTCTCGGGCAGATTTCAATAAAACTTCCAGCTGTGGAACCAAAGTTACTAATGTAGGACTAAAATTTAAAATCTCCACACCTGGAGATCTTGCACTGGTCCTGCTGGGAATCCTGCCAAGCTCAAACCACTTGTGCCCAGCCATTCCTTTGACTTGGAACACCTTTGGAGGTCTCCGTGGCATTACTCTCTAAATTGATGCCAAAATTCACTGTTTGTGCCTGGATCCTTCACAGCATAGCTCTGTGCGTGTCTAAACACAGGCTGTAGAAATGCCTTAATACAATTTTAAAAACAAAAATCCCACAATGTTAATTTATGTACTTCTTGATTAAAGGCCAGAGTTACTCAGAGAATAAACCAGAAATTCTGCAAAAAAAGGATCTACCAGAATACCCTAAGCACAGGGCATTCAGCTCTTCAAAAGAAGAAGCCAAAAGTATTTTTTCCTCCCTGGAGCAATCCTTCATGCTAGTTATGTTCAGATAAAAACTCCATGCAAGAGCCTCAAAAAACTATTTTTACAGCATGATTGAAAGCAGTACCATGACAAGAATATCTGACTTCAAGTTCACGGCTTAAAAGAGCAGAAACAGATAATTTTCTACTGTTAAAAAGTCCTATGGTCCCTGCCTATAGAATTTACCACCCAAAACCTGCATAAGGCACCCGCTCAAGACCATCCATGTTCTTGCACATCCTGTGGGCAAAGGCTCACATCCATCTCCGTGTTTTATCATGGAATTACGGAATGGTTTGGATCGAAAGTGAATTTAAAGCCCATCTAGTCCCACCCTCTGCCATCAGCAGGCACCTTCCACTAGGCCAGGTGATCTTAGAACATTGCCAGGAATGGGGCAGCCACAGATTCTCTGGGCAACCCGTGCCAGGGCCTCGCTACCCTCACAAGGGAGAGTTGTGTTGTCAATATTCCACCTAACACTGTCATATATCTTTGTGAATTCATTCCCCTTTGCTCTATCACCTTTAAGAACTACCGGGATTACCAGGAATGGGACAGTTATGAACACACCCCCGAGAGGGATTTAAAATGGAATTGGAGATCCGCCCCCGCTCCCGCCCCTCCCTCACGGAGCCCTCACGGAGCCCTCACGGAGCCCCGCCCCCAAAGCGCGAGACCACCCCTTCCCGCCTCGCCGCCTCACCCAATCAGCGCAGAGATCACCACATATATTTGCATATTAAAGCCCGCCGTCCTCGCTGCTCACCAATCAGAGAGTTCCTCTCATGAATGGGGTGGGGAAGCCTGCTGGACTTTGCACGCGCCCGCTGAGCCGCAGCTTCCCATTGGGCAATGGGCTGGTGGGCGTGGCCAGTTTGAACGGGCGGCGGCCGGGAGCGGCGCCATGGTGAAACCGCTGAGGGCTCGGGATCCCGATCCCGATATCGATCACAATATCGATATCGATCCCGATACCGCCGAGGGTCCCGGCCCCGCGATGAGCCCCCCGCTCTCCCCGCAGCCCGCTGCTGCGCCAGCCGACGGCTTTGCCTCCTCAGACGATGAGGCCGCCGAAGAGGAGCCGAGCCCGCTCCACATCTCCTGGTGAGGCGACACCCGCGGGGTCCTTTCTCTGAGGGAATTGTATTCAGTCCCTCTCCTGAGAAACAGGAGCGTTTTCTCTTGGCAAGGGAAACCCGTGTCCCACCAGACACTGGTGAAAAGGTCTTGACCCCCCCCCCCCAAAAAAAAAAAAACAACTTTATATATTTATATAATTGAAATCTTGCATTATTATTTTTATTTATTTTACTTTTTATTTTCTAAAAGGTTGTCTTTGTCTCCTCTCTACTCTTCAGAGTTCCTGGGATTATGTTCCCTTCCAGGTAAGAAGCATTCACTGAAATTTGCAGGCATATTTGAAAGGTGAAGAGGGGTAATACCTTGTACCCCAAATTTCTGTGTTGTGGGTGACTCCTTTTGTAATCTACCCCTGGAATAAGCATTTTGGAAACACCAAAGCTAATCTAGAGAATATCTTAATGCAAGATCACATTTTGTAAAGTCATAAAAGAAAACACACAAACTTTGACTGCATTTTTAGCTACCAAAACTGCAGCCATGGTGAATCTCCACTCAACTCTTAAGTGATTATTATTCATCCTTTTATTTGTTGGATGATTTTTTGTGTCTTGTGGGGGGATTTTATGCTGTATCCTGATTTAAAATATCCAAAACTTTTCATCTGGAAAACACAAAGCACCTTAAAACCTTCAGCAGATTTCTTTTGTTAATCCTATTACATTACAGTATTAAGCAGATAATGGTGTTTAAACTGCTTTATGCACCAGGGATCTTCTTGCAAAAACGAGAACTCTGTTTTATTCAGGATGTGGCTTTGGTCCTTGCTTTGATTTTGGGAGGAGGCTCTGTTCTTCTGCTGCAGCAGCCATCCCATAAATGTCACTTACCTGCAGCAGTAATTGTTGTTCATGACTTGTTTCAGGTTGCAGGTTTAAGGATGTCAGAAGGAATCTTCAGAAAGATATAGGTGAGTCATCTTTGTGTCAAGGGCAATTCCATGAATATTCCATGGAATAAGTAGTCAGGATATTTCCAGGCAAGAGCTGCACAGTACCAGTGAAGCATCTTCAGAGCAGCCGGGATCAAGATGAATTACAAACTTCCTTTTTCCCAGAGAAAAGTGAAATTGGGATAGAAAATACGGAATTACGTAAAGATTTGTGCTGATTATTCAGCTGTAAGCACTAAAGAGCAGAGACTAATAGCAAATCCCCACAGTGTCTGGGTAAATCAAGCTTAGGAAGGGACTCCTGGATGTGAGGTGGGGAGGCCCTGGCACAGAGCAGCTGTGGCTGCCCCTGGATCCCTGGAAGTGCCCAAGGCCAGGGTGGATGGGCTTGGAGCAGCCTGGGACAGTGGAAGGTGTCCCTGTCCATAGCAGGGGTGGAATGAAATGGGCTTTAACCACCCTGGGATTCTGTGATTTTAACTACAGCTGGAACAGAAACATACTTAAGTGGGTAACAGGCTGTCCTGAGTGGTGCTGTGCTTTCCAGTGAGACTTCTCTCAGGATTCCCTCTGAACTGAGAAAATTCCTCTCCTGGATTACCTGAAGGGAAATGTGGGAGAGGCTCAGTGGAGGAAAGAGTGCTCAAACCAAAATTGCTTACTCCTATTGTCGTAGCCCCAAAGATTAAACAAGAGACTCAGGACCAAGGTGCTTATCTGTTTATCCTTAAGCTTGATAGGCTTTTGTTTATCTGCAAGTGTCTTAATCCCTTGGCAGGAGAACTAAAGAGCTGTGGGATCCAGGATATCTTTGTGCTTTGTACCAGAGGCGAGCTCTCAAAATACCGAGTACCAAACCTGCTCGACACCTACCAACAGCACGGGATGTGTGTGCACCACCACCCCATTCCTGATGGGAATGCTCCTGACATTGCCACCTGCTGCAAGATCCTGGAAGAGCTCAGAACCTGCCTGGAAAATAAGCAGAAGACAATGATACAGTAGGTTCTGGCTGCCTCCCCATCACCCACATTCCTGTAAAGGATGCCAGCTTCCCTCCTATTTCCAGGGGAAATAAGATACTGTTGAATAGGCAGTTGCACTCCTTAGGGCTAGTTCATGCTGTGAATTCTGCTTGTTCCTCCTCCTGGAGCTATTTGCAGAGAATTCTTCCTTTCAGGAGATCAGGAGGTCCCATTTCAAGATTAGAATGTGCCATTTCCCCAGCAAGTTTTAAAGTGTTTTGAGTGGCACCACAGGGCTCCTCGCTCCCAGCCTACCTGGATATCAGGTGTACAGAATGAGTTGGGAGCTAAAACACTTCTTTGTCAGAGGTTGTGACTGCCCCATCCCTTGAAGTGTTCCAGGCCAGGGATGGGGCTTGGAACGGCCTGATCCAGTGGAAGGTGTCCCTGCCCATGGCAGGGGGTGGGATAAGTGACTCTAAGGTCCCTTCCAACCCAAACCACTCTATGATTCTATAACACTTCCCTGCACCATTTATCAGGGACTCAGTGGGTTCCAGCAGTGCAAATTTCACTCCTAATTTCCATGAATGGGTTTAAAGGAATTTATTTAGCTGAGCTTGGGAGAGAGGGGAAGAGCTTTCCAAATTCTATGTTCCCTGAATGATCCCATTCACAGTTTCCTGTACAGAAATCCACTGAGTCCTTGGTTTTCCTGCTGACATAGAACCCTGCTGTTCTCCTCACAACTGTCCTCAAACCTTAATCTGGAGTAGGATTTAAAGAAATTTGAGATTGTCCATCCTCCTACTGTTTCCTGTCCTCCTTTGCTTTTAGGACTATTAGCAGGAATGAAGGAGAACTTCAATTTTAAGGTTTCTATGGAAAGACAGAGAAGATCTGGATACTAAATAGGATATATCCCTGTAGGTATAGAAATAGAATATAGAAAATGTGTAGAAATTCTTATTCTGACTTTTTTGTACCACTGCTCCTCTTGATTATATTAACGTAAGAACTGTGTCCATATATTTATGTGTTGGGGGGTCCCTGAGTGCTGCAGTTTGCTACAGCTTGTTACAACCAGATGTTTTCTTTTCTCCCAGCTGTTATGGTGGCCTTGGACGCTCATGTCTTGGTAAGCATTTGTCTCCATGCCTGACTAACTCATCCCACAAACCCAAATTCTGCTGGAAGCTTCACTGTGGATGCAATCCAAACTGCCACTACCAGGAGCAGCCTGGTTAATAGAAAGGACATGAACCAATTCTTCTGCATCTGATTCATCCCAGTGTTGCCCCTTAAAGCTTTCAGGAGTGTTAGTTACTGTGTGTTCCCAGAAGGATCAGGGGGTGATATGGCCAGAAGACACAAAGGAGAATTAACGGGGTGTACTGGCACTCATTCCTGAAAAGCCTGAGAATTGCATCCCAGATGCTGCTGGGAAGGCAGGGGGGAAAATAGTGGGAGGTTTTCACCTATTTCCAAAGCCCATAGGCTTAGGCAGGAGCAGCAGGCAGATGGAGCAGTGCCCAGAAATAGGATTCTGCAAGAGATCCAAGAGCTCTGGGACCTGGATAGGTTTGCCAGGGTGGTTTTCATGGGACAAATCAGTGGCTGTGTGCAGTCAGAGGTGCTCAGCAGCACTCAGGTGTAAACACTTTCCCTTACAGTGGCTGCATGTCTCCTGCTCCAGCTTTCAGACACCCTGGCACCTCAGCAGGTGATAGAGAGCCTCAGGAACCTGAGAGGATCAGGGGCCATACAGACCATCAAGGTAATGGGGCTGCAGCAGGTAATACACAGGTCCAAACCCCAGTGAGAGTTCAGCCACTCCCTTCTTTCACTTCACTATCCCAGAGATAGCTCTGCCCTTCCAATAACTCTCTGGGGTTTGAGCTGTTTCCTGCTTTCAGGAAACAGCTTCTGCCAGGAAACTGGTGACTGGGCAAGAGGAAAAGGCCTTAAGTTGTGCCAAAAATGGTTTAAGTGGATAAGAGGGAAAATTTCTTCACTGAAAGGGTTGTCTAGCCCTGGCACAGCTGCCTATGGCAGTGGTGGATGGAGTCCCCATCCCTGGAGGGATTTAAAAGCCATGTGGATGCACGTAGGGACTGGGGTAGTGCTGGCCTTAGAGTGCTGGGGGAATGATTGGACTCAAAGATCTTAGATTTTCCAACCTAAATGATTCCATGATTCAAAATAAAGCAGCTTTGAATTCTGACAACTCCCACTTCTGAGGACCAGGTTTTGCATTGCCCTGAGGTAATGCATCCCTGTGGCCATTATGGGGAAGCACAGGATCCAAGTCAAGATCCATGGAATCTGTCTGACAGTGAAAAATCACAGAGGTGTGGAGTAAGCACACGAAGAACAAGTGAACCAGAGGGTGCAGTTTTCATCCAGGGGTATCAAACAGCTTTTTAGCACAGGTAGTGCCTCTTCTTGAAGCACAGAGCACTCACTGCAGACTGGTTGTGCATTTCCAGCAGTACAATTTCCTCCATGACTTCCGGGAGAACCTGGCGGCACACCTGGCAACAAAGGACCCGGTGCTGAGATCGGCATCGCGGTAGCTGATCCTGTCTGTGCCTGTGTGGAAAACTCCTGGACAAGACACCCCTCTCCTGACCTTTCCTCAGTGCTACTGCCTGTGTGACTCAGCTGCTGCCTTCCAAATCTACGTGTAAAGTATTGGGATGGGGAAGGAAATCCTAGAGAACATGGATGGGAACAAAGTCTCCTCTCTGGTGACTTTAATACTCACTGCCTGAAAAATACGTGTACAAGTGTGTTTGTGTCCATTGCTGTTCTGCTGGGATAAGGGAGCTGGATAGAAATTCCATCTCTGGAGCTGTTTAAAAATACCCTCACACCATCAGCTCTGCTGTAGAGCAAAGTCAAGTCAAGCTGGAGCACTCACCCCTTAGGCACTCGTAACAACTCATTCTAAAATGTCACGGTTCTGCTCGATGTGTTGAGGGGTATTTGGGAAGGAGTCTCCTCATTCCAAAAGCAGGAGGTGTTGTGACACCACAAATCTGTGACAAGCCCAGCAGGGGGGTTGTAGGTGACTGTGGCAGCTGCGTGGGTGAGCTGGCACAGCCCTTCTGCCTGCTGCCACCACGGAGAGTAAACAAACAATCAGCTGTGGGCTGGGAGGATCTCACAGGAACAGTCCTCTGCAGTCCCCAGCCCTCCTGCTTCACTATTTCCATTCAAAGCAAGATGAAACAGCTCCTGGCTTTTGCTAAAGTTCAGGGTTTTGCTTAAGTTCAGGACCATCTCAAGTCAAAAGTTGGGACGAGACTCCACACAACACCAGGGGGCTTGAGTTGAGCAAGTGCCTGCTTTGTGAACTTCAGAATTTATCTTTTAATTAAACTTTGAGCACAAAGGTGATTTCTGCAGATTAATTAGTGTTTACTGCCATTCCCATCCCCACTCTTATGGCAAATAACAGGAACTTTTCCAGTTCCCACAGCACAGAATTTACAGCAAATGCCCTGCCCCAAATGTGCTTCAGTACTTAGTCCTTGCAACTAATGTTTTTTAGATATTAAATATTTATCACATGACTCAGCAGGAAGCTTGCTGAGGGCAAGAGAAATGTTCTTTATCTTCTCCATAATATTTTGCCTCCTAGAACTCCAAAACCAACGATCAGTCCACATTTTGAATGCCAAAGGCCTGGTACTCCAGCAGGGAATTACACAAGGGCTACTCCAACACTCCTGGGACATGATGCTGCTGTTGCTGGACATGGAACAGCTGGGAATGCTCATCTGCACCCCACATCCAGCTAAAGCTGCTCATCAGCAGGACAGTGCAAACACTTTGGTAAATATTGCTGGGCCCTTGCAGCTGCAGGGCCTGCAGGAGCAGCCTGCATTGTTTATTCCAGCGTGGAATTTGGCTCAAACCAGCCCAAATGCCAAGGGAACACGAGATTTGTTTAAAAGGTTGAGGAGAGCCAGGGGCTACAAGCAGCCAGTCTTGTTTCCATAATGAATTAATAAACATACAAACATAAGAAAAATTTAATGAGCTTTGCTTCCACAGGCTGAAGTCATCTCTTACGTGTTTGGAACAGCCAAGCACCAGAAAAGTAAAAATGATCCAATAGGAACAATATTAATGAGTTTCCAAAAAAGCCTTTCAAAAATTCTTCTGTGAAAAGCTAAAAATTATGGTTGAATGAGTAAAAAAACAATCATGGAATGCTGAAGGTTTGAGCAGTAGGGGCATGGGAAATGCTCAATCAGTGCAAGGAAACACGAGAAAAACAATTTTATGTACAAAGCAAGAAGCTGCCAGGACTATTATTAAGAAAGAGAATTTGAAGTTATCACAGCCTGAATTCTCTTACCCCCAGTATATTTATAAAAACTAGAAACTACAACTCTCCATCCCCACGGAACCCAATCTTTGTGTGATGATTGTCTAGAAAAGGAGAAGGTTGTGGAGGAGAAAGGACAATCCCAAACCTGTGGAAGGAGTGCCAAGCAGAGAGCAAACAAACTTAGCCCTTGTGGCAGATGAGTAAAGTCTGTTCATTCACACCCAGCACAATTAAGGTAGAAAGGGGGACATTTTCACCATGTCCAAAAAAATAAGCACGTAGGGTCATTAAGTGAAGTCGGCAGAACTGTTAAATACCTGTTTTTTACACACAGCAATTCCACTGCAGAACTCACTGCCAGGATTGCCCAGAGCAGCTGTGGCTGCTCCAACCCTGCAGTGTCCAGGGCCAGGTTGGACAGGGCTTGGAGCAGCCTGGGATAGAGGGAGGTGTCCCTGCCATGGCAGGGGGTGGAATGAAATGCAATTTAATTTAATGTCCCTTCCAACACAAACTGCTCTGGGATTCTGTGGTGTTCTAGACCAGGCTACAAAAGTGCTCTAAAAGCAGCTGAACTGATGGCAGAAAAGCCATTCAGAGCTTTTTGAAATGCCAAAGCCCACTCAGGACATCTGCAACAGACAGATTTCCAAATTTCTCACTCTTCAGGCAGATACTCCACACCTGCCTGTTTCATATTCCTTTCCTCAGCCACTGCCCAACAGACCAGTGTTGGAACCTCTGGATTTCTGGTGGAACCCAGTGCAGTCATTCATGCAATTTATACTGCCCCTTACACCCAAGAGCCCCAAAGTGAACAAATACACAGTTTATGCAAAAAAAAAGTTTTACTAGAACGGGGAAACTCTGCATTGTTCTCCAGCACAGGTAAATGAAAAAGATCTCTAATTATTACTTGTAAATTAAGCAGCTGTTCACAGTTACAATTTACAATGCAATATTTATCTGAAACATCTTCCTCTGCCCCATCTGCAATTTTAACTTCAGGGAAAAAAGCAGGAAATCAGAATTTCCCTTTTCCAGAGGTAATTCAATTCTATTTTTGAAGGGAATGCAATAATCCACTGTAAAACAACAGTGAGGATCTGTTGAATTTATAAACAAAACAAAAGGCACCACATAAAAAGAAGTGTTGCTGAATTTGAGATTTGTTTTTTATTATCATTTATTGCACTAAGGAACAGCAGGGCAGTTTCACAATCTCACCTTCTGCTTTGAAAAGTCTGTAGTATTTACTACTCTTAAACCCAAGAGTGTTTTCATCATTGGACTTGATAAACATTGGAGGTTTGTCCATTTTTTAATCAGACAGCACAGACATTAAAAAAAAAAAACAAACCAAAACATTTAAATTCATTCCTTCATGGACAATTCAGCTTCTCCTACCACAATGGCACAGACTCGAGACTAAAGCAGGGTTAATGTTTGGAGAAGATACAGAGGGCTCTGTGCACTTATGGATGCACATACAGGGAAAGATTAACCAGATAATAAAAAAATAAACGAAAACAGAACTATTTTTGCTTTTGTGTCCATGAATTAACATCCTAAGACCCATGTCACCTATGGGCAAAACATACAGATTCCAGTTGTTCCCAAGCACTTGGAGCTAGGGCTGGTTTAGAGTAAAGAGTGGGATACACAAGTCCAAGTGAGCCACTACAAAGCCCATCCTACTGCAAATCCCTAAAGTACTAAGGCTAGTAGTAACCAACACTTACTTGAAGGTTATGGCTGTTCCTTATGGAGTGCAAAGTCAAAACTTTTCAAACCCCAGTCATCCTTATATTAATTTACAGATAATTCATTAATTTCACATCCCAGTAAAATATAAGAAAACAGTCTTTCCACAATTATAAAATGTGGAAATATTTTAAAAATAGGGGAGTCATTGTTTTCTAACTCAATTGTGAACATCAGGTTCCAGATTTAATCTTGGTCAGAGGTTCTTCTTGTAAAGAATCCATGTTTTTTGTGGCTGTTGCATGCACTTAACTGGAACAAAGCTTGCTGAATGTCTTCTTAAGAGCTCACCAGAACATAAATCATGCTGCAGAAGAAAATAAAAATATTAAGATGCATCATTTTGATTAGTGTTACACATTTAATTATAACAGGGTCTATTATAAGGAACAAGTCCATATGAGATAGGTGGATTGTGACTCAAGATTTGACACAATGACTCTTCTACTTTTGACTTCAACAAAACCACATTTACATCAAATACTTTCCTCTGAAAACAATGTTTCAGCTTCATAATTAAAACACCCTGGGATGTATTGTATTATGCTTAATGGAAGAAAAGTTTGTAGCTTTTCGGTCTACAGTCATGAACAGAGACTCAAAATAGTAATTCTACCAAATGAGGGTTTGTGTTTTAAAGCAGAATCAGGGGGGAATGTGGATTCTTTTTCAGGAAAGGTGATCATACAGATTCCCAGCATGTTTTGAGTTGGAAGGACTTCATAGATCCTCTCACTCCAACCCCTGCAATAGGCTGGGAGATCTTTGGCTAGGCCAGGCTGCTCCAAGCCCTGTCCAACCTGGCCTTGGACACTTCCAGGGATCCAGGGGCAGCCACAGCTTCTCTGGGCACCTGTGCCAGGGACTGCCCACCCTCACAGAACAATTCCCTCCCAATATCCCATCTAATCCTGCCCTCTGGCAGTGGCATTCCCACATGTCCTGACACTACACCCTTGTCCAAAGTCCCTGTCCAGCTCCCACAGGCTCCACATTCCTATGGACAGCATTTCTCTCTGCACTGAGCCAAAGCTTCAGACTGAAAAGGAAAACTTACCCATATAGGTAGTAAAAAAAAGATAGAAGGTAGAATGCTAATTTGCACCATCCTTCTTTCTGGCAATAGGCTAAAATATCTGCATTCATGATGGTCGTAGGATCGTAGAGCCCCGGGCCGCTCATCACGGGTCTGCTCATGTACCTGGAAGGAGGCACAGCAGGCGTGGGGTGACAGCCACAGGAAACCAGAGTCCTGCCCCCACCCACCAGGGATGCCACAGCTGAGACAAGGGGTAACACCCTTGACAGAGAAGCAAGTCAATTCCCATGTCTTAAGGAATGGGAGAGGAGACTGGAATTGCTGCTTCGACTGCAATTCCACACTGGGAGTTGTCTCAGTGCACCTGTGACATGCCAGTGACTTTAACACACACAACTCAATTCTCACACAGCACAAGAGAATTAAAAAAACCCACAAGAAAGCCAGGTGTTGGTTCTTATTGTACAGCCATGACCTGAACTTTCCCAGAAAGCGTCTGTGTGCTCCCAAGACACAGAACACTGGACAGGAAGACAGCAACAGGAGAATGAGTAACAATTCACTGAGCATAGCAGACTCGCCAAAATTACCTCCAAATATGATAAGCCAACAAGGGCATATTGAGACCCAGTGTGAGCCACTCTGCTGCACAGAGAAACATGACACAGAAGAATGCATGGATGAGGTACTCTGGAAGTACAAGCTGGAAAAGAAAAAGACGAGTTAGAAATTTCAACTGCACAGAGCAAAACGTGGCATTTCAGCTACTTTGGAGGCACGCGATTGCTTAAAAATATTATTGAAAACCAACACTAACGAGAACAAGACTGTGGAACGTGAAAGCAGCAGCCAGCACTATGTGCCTTGCTGCTTTCACATGCTATTCATGAACCAAGAAGAAAAATTTCTAAGATTTAATGGTCAGGTCAGTATTTTTTAATTGCTTCTATTAAATTAACAGATTCCACGCTTTATGCATGACACTCGGAAGAGGTCACTGAGATATTTCTGCTCATGCGACATAGAAATATCAGTAGGAAACGTGCTCTGCAGAACAGCTTATAGGCAAAAAGATGTTTGTGGTTTCCTGTTTTACAGCTTTGTTATGGTCTTCACAGATCCAGAACTTTTCAAAGTCAAATTATTCCCAAAATGTAACGCCCCAGGCAGAGCTTTACCCAACCAAAGCAGCGGTGACGTGGTGGCACACACAGGTCTGCACAGAGGAGCTGCTCTGCACGGACAGTCTGGGGGGAATTGGGCAGTTCTCCCTCACAGGTTCCCACTGTGCATGCTTTACAGCATCATGCTTCCAGCAGAAGCCACAGAGCTCAGTACCAGGTACTATGGAATCACAGGAAGCATGGAATGCTGCGGAGATTAGTGCTGTTAATAGGAACAACATGGAGAGGGAAGAGAGTAAACACATGCAAAGAGCTGTGAAATCTCACACCCAACACACGAGTTAAGTTTCATACAAAGTCACCCCAAAGTGTTGCTGTTTACTGCTTTATTACCAGGTCAGAAGGAATCACACAAATCAGACTGGTTTGGGTTAGGAGGGATCTGAAAATCCATCCTGTTCCACACCTTCCACTATTCCAGGCTGCTCCAAGCCCTGTCCAACCTGGCCCTGGATATTTCCAGGGATCCAGGGTAGCCACAGCTTCTCTGGGCACCCTGTGCCAGGGCCTCAGCACTCTCATAGGAAGAATTCCTTCCCACTATCCCATCCATCCCTGCCCTCTGGCAGTGGGAGCCATTCCCTGTGTCCTGTCCCTCCATCCCTTGTCCCCAGTCCCTCTCCAGCTCTCCTGGAGCCCCTCCAGGCCCTGCAAGGGGCTCTGAGCTCTCCCTGGAGCTTCTCCTCTCCAGGTAAGCACCCCCAGCTCTCCCAGCCTGGCTCCAGAGCAGAAGCAGAAGATCTGTAAAACTGTTGCCTTCTTAACTCAGGCTCCATAAAACTTCTCCTCATAGAAAACACACCATTTTTACCCAAAAGGTTTAAATTGCCTACATATGTGCAGGAACACACACAACACACTCTGACCTCTTTTTGTGCAATATGATTAAATTGCATGGGATGATTACATCAAAGTTTCAGTGGTTTCCAATTTTTTTCTTCTTTTAGAACCTCAGAATATCTTCCTAGAAATCTAAAAGCTACCAACAAACACACTCACTGCCTACTTTGCTATGAAATTCTAATTCTCTAAATGAAGACTATTGCAAACTTGCATCAACACCACCAAAATTCAGCTGTTTTACACAAAATGTTTCAAGTAAATATTTTCATCCAGATCCTTCTTTGCATACTTACCATTTACACATGGCAATTATTTATAGCAGAACAACAACCACTCTGCCCAGCACACGATGCATTTGGCAGCCTGCTCAGACAGATTCACTGGGCCTGAAAAAATCTGTATTTATTTACCTACACATTTCAAAATATGTTTTTCTTTTATCTTGTTTATTATACCTTACTCCCACATCAGGATCCCTGCCTCTTTCCAATCTCCCCCACTTGATCCTCCCTGCCTGTCCTAAAGAAAAATGAATTACATCAGATCCTACCATATTTATCACAGAAGTGAGGGAGGATGGATCTGGTTGCTGAGAAAAGACACGACTATAACAGGAGCAGGGAAGAGAAGGAATCAGCAGTGTACTAAGGAGTTACTATTTTAGGCTAATCTTTGCACTGAGGTGCCTCAATTCCTACCAAGATCTTTGGTTCTTTGTACAGGAAAACAACACACCCATGTGTTTGTCCAGCATCATGTACCAGTTCCCCTCAAGAGCCTGAACTTCACTTTTGGGGATTAGCCTGCTTCCACAGGAACAGCAAAAATGAGGTTATTTCAGACTTTCAGTTGCAAAGCTGCCATGTAAAGGGCACTCCATGCACGTGGGGCAGCAGAAGGTTAATATTCAGTTAAACATGCACGTTTTTACACTACAAAGGTTGCAGTAAGGTCATAATGCATCAATGTAATGAGGGTTGGCCTCTCCCACACTGCAGCAGAGATGACTGGAACAGACCAAGCAAGGGAAACTGTTAGATGCACAGCTCTCCTAGCAGCAAACCTCCTCTCCTCCTCCCCTCCTCACACTGAAATATTCACTTTTATTTGTCTGCTGTACACGTAACACGCTCTCCCCCAGCCCCCAATTACAGCAAGTTTATTATTTTGTTGCATATTTTACTTCAAACTAAAGCTACAGTTCAGGCCACACTGCTGTGCTGCCCCTGCATCCTCCCTCAGCCTGGGCACACACAAAGGAAAAGCCGTAAGAAAGGCACAAAATGCTGCAGGATCAACCTCTGTGCTCTTTAACAAGCCTCCCTGATGCTGCTGGCCTGTCAGAGGTGCAGCCAAAAAGTTTGCCTCAAATTCTTTTCCTAAGCCAAGGAGTGTCTGAGCTGCATCCGAGAGAGGGCACTGGGACACCCCCCGATCCTGGAACACAGAACAGAGAAGTGAGGATAGCACCTATCACCTTCCACTGACCCAAATCCTCAAAAAAGATCAGAACTGACTTGGTCAATGCTTAAAAAAACCCCGAAGTATTCTCCTCTAATCTGAATTCAGTAAATCTGACTTGAAAAACATGATTTATTTCTGCCTGAAGTTATTTTCTGACACCTAACAGGCATGTAACAGTTTTCCCCAAGTTGCTGGGTAAGCAAGCAGAATTGGTTTGGCACAAAATATGGAAATCCATGAGGTTGTTATAAACCCCAACAAACAAATAACGAGCAGATGAACAGGCAGACTAAACAAAACAGCTAAAGAGTATTACAAATGTTCCTAACAAAATGAAAGGGAAGTTCAAAAACATGAAACTGAAAAGCAGTACACACCTTTAATGCAATTTTGACTCTTTTAATCTTTTT